ATGGGTCTTCGTTCTGGAATTGTAGGGTACACGGGGGTCAACCACAGGCAGATAATGCAGCTGAAGAGGGGGCATGGGGCTGGTGGAAGAGGGTCTCAGAAGCCCTTCTGAAGGGCTGCATTTTGGAAATTACAGTAAACCCGGGAATGTAAGGGTGTTAGGCAGGTTGGCTATGTGACCACACATGGTGGTCACAACAAGGAGCATGCCCAGAGCCTCTCGTCTAATGTTAGGGCTGCTATTTGCTCCTCAGCTGCCAACCTGAGGCCCAGGGTTGCAGTCTGGTTTTCTCCTTACAGAGAGATCTGGCTCAAAGCTGAGCCCTGCTCCTCCCCTGGCTATGTGACCTTAAGCAAGCTACTTATCTATCTTTCTGTCATCTGGACCGTGGAGGTAACACTGTCCCCCTTTAAGGGTTGTGGGACTAAATGAGGTAATGCATGACAAGTGTCTCATAGCTTAGTGCCCGGCAGGCAGTGAGCGCTCAGATAGCAGTAACCTTTTGTCTCATTTCTGGGGTCCTGCTTCTGCCCCCAGCACGTTATCCCAATGCCTGTCTCCCTCCGGGGGAGTTGGTCCTGGGGTCTCGCAGGGGCTTCTGCAGGGGCTGAGCTGGTCAGGGAGGGACGGGGAACATTTCTCAGGTTGCCCGCAAAGGCAGGGGCATGCCTTGGCTTAATTGGGGTTAGGGCACACAATGAGTTTAAAAAGGCAATTTGGTGTGGATTACAAAAGAAAACAGAAGCATATTGAAAGGCGTGCGTGTGTAATTTTGCACGGGTGGGATGAGTTTTCCCATGTGGAAGGACTTTTCCTTTGCATAAAGTTCAAAGCGGGGTTCCTGTAAGTCACCAGTTCCTCCTAGGGCTCTCACTCAGGAGTCAGTTTCCCTAGCATGATTCACACCGACTTTCCAGGGGAGAGCCTTCTGCTCACCACAGCCTTGTCACCTGATCTCCTTTCGAACTCCCTTGAACTTTGACCTCAGGAAGGAGAATCCTGGGATGGGATCCATGCAGACTCCCTAGACTGTGGGATGCACCGTGATCTTTTGTGCCACCAAGAAAGAAAAAACACTGCCGTCGGTCAGAACTGTGAGATGCAGCTCACTGGGGAACAAGCCTTGGTTTTAGAAACGTCACAATGTGAAAACACAGGCACCTTAGAAGCAATGAAACACAGCTTCTGAGCATCAAGGTCTGCTGGTTAGGCCAGGTCAGTACTCATGGCAGGATGGACATGTACAAAGGGGGACCGACCCCCAAATGACACTTGGCTTCCCATTATTTAATTGCTACTTTTTCTTTATGAGAAAAAAAACTTGACCACAATGGCTCTAGGAGACAGACCTTGGCTCTGCCGTGTTCACCGCGGTGTCCCCATCACGTCACGCATAGTAGGTGCTCAACAAATATTTGCTGAATGAGAAACCGAACAAAGCCACATTATACAACATGAGGAAAAACCCAGAAAAGAAAAGAAATCATTCATCATCGCCCCATTGTGGGTCTTTTGGCTTATTTCCCTTCAAGTCTTATTTCCTATGAATGTGCTCTTTCATATACATGTAAACATAACGGATTATCAGATTTAGCTCCGGGATGTGCTTTTGTATTTCTCTATTAATATGAATGAAATGATCAAATGAGATGATGCGGAAATGCTTTGAAGACTGTAAGATGTTTAACGAAATATATTAGTATTAGTTATAATTATCATGGCAATACGGATCTGAATGAGGCTGATTTTCTGCGAATACACTTCAAAGCAAATAACAAATTTGCCCTGTGAAGCTGGGAATGTGTTTGCTCCCACCCACTGTGGGGAGTCCCTCTGCTTCAGACCAGGGAGGGGAAGCAACGGAAGGATTTGTGGAAATCAGCGGCTCCACCTTCCCACCCAACCCAGACATTTCCTTTTACTTATTTATCTATGTACTTATTATTTTTTAATGTATTGAATTGATTCAACATGAACATATAGGTTTCCTGCGTGGATTTCTACGTGACAAGATCTGTGTAGAGAAATGTCTTCAGTGTCACTGATGCAGGGGAAGTGGGGATGGGAGAGGGATACTCGCATCTCTCAGGCCAAAGAAACAGCCATCTGCCAAGAGCTGCCTTCTCTCTGACTTTTGACCATTGCCAGTGGCCAGGCAGAGTAACCCTGTGGGTTCAGAGAATGTTACTCGCCTCCCCTCATGCTGATAGCAATGTGGACAGAGACGTCAGCCCAGGTAAGCCACTCACGATGGGTGTGGCCGTTACAGTGACCAGCCCACAGAGTCCCATTTACCCCAGGCAACGAGTCAGAAAGTCACCTTTAGAGGCAAAGACTCACGCACACAGCGGGTCATTGTCTAAGCCACACCTGGGTCTCTGAAGGGAGGAGGGTTTGCTCATACGACACACAGAAGGCGGGACTGACCAAGATTGTCTCCTGGACCAGACTCTAGCCTCAGGATTGGCTTACAACCATGGTCGGCAAACTGCGGCTCGCAAGCCACATGGGGCTCTTTGGCCCCTTGAGTGTGGCTCTTCCACAAAATACTATGGCCTGGGCGAGTCTATTTTGAAGAAGTGTCATTAGAAGAAGTTTAAGTTAAAAAAATATGGCTCTCAAAAGAAATTTCAATCGTTGTACTGTTGATATTTGGCTCTGTTGACTAGTGAGTTTGCCGACCACTGGCCTACAAAGACCCGAACAAACACTACCATGGTCTCTGACAACCCAAAGCTACATCCTGAGGCTGAGCCTAACCCCCTGCCCCTCAGAGGCCCTGCCACAGAAAACCCAAAGCTGCCCAAAGAACTGACTATTTGTTCCTGCCAATCCCTGATGACGGGCCTCTGTCTCCCCGTGTGTACCGGAGGGTGGGGGCCTAACGTGGATGAGCGCCAGCCGGACACTCGGTCGGGTTTCAGGTGGACCAACTGTCCTCCACACTCTCTGTAATGTGTCACTTCCCTGGCTGCCGTGGTCACCTCTGGACAAGTCGGAGTTGAGCTCCGTTCATGCCGAGCCCTCTGTCCTCTTGCATCGAGTGTGCTAGTGGCTCAGGTCTGCCCTTGCCGCTTTGACGAGGGTCCAGCTTGTCAGTACTCGGAGGCAGGCTGGCACACCTCGGCTAATCGCTTGGGCTCTGATGCATCCACACTGCCTGCCCATCTGCACCCCTCGACTGCATTTTTACTCTTTTAAATGTTTGTTGTTGTTGTTAATCCTCATCCAAGAATATTTTTTTCCCATTGAATTTTAGAGAGTAGATAGGAGGGAGTGAGGGAGGGGGGGGAGAGAGAGAGAGAGAGAGAAACATTGATGTGAGAGAGACACATTGATTGGTTGCCTCCCACACTTGCCGTGAGTGGGGCCAGGAATAGAACCTGCAACCCAGGTATGTGCCCTTGACTGGGAAGCAAACCCTCTGATGCGTGGGGGCCATGCTCTAACCACTGAGCCCACTGGCCAGGACTCTCACTCTTTTAAAAAATTCTTTCAATTACTGTTGACAGCCAATATGATGTTAGTTTCAGATGTACAGCATAGAGGTTGACATTTGTAGAACTTATGAAACCATCACCCCCAATAAGTCTGGTACCCACCTGGCACCACACACAGTTATTACAACATCATTGACTGTATTCCCTATGCTGTACTTTACATTCCCGAGACTATTTTTCTGACTCAAATCCTCAGCACTAACCCTGGCTCCCTGCTGTCTGGTTCCTGCCTTCCTCCTTTGTCCTTAACGGGGAGGTTTCCTGGGGACACAGCTCACTTTCTACCTTACGTACACCCTCACACACTCCATTTCTGCTCCCACCACCTATCTCAGTCCCTGGGCCTGGAAGGCCGGGCCAACCTCCCAGCCTCCTCTGCCCGGGTTTCAAAGCTCCCGCCCATCTGCTCAATGCTGCAGTGGAAGCTGGACTCGGCCTTCAGCAACTGCCCAGGCATTAAGTACTCCTGAGGCCTACACCACCAATTTCCCCCCAGAGATTCAGAACTACAGCTCGCTCCTATATTTAAACTCAGTTTCCAATACAGAATACTGTTTTATAAAACGGCTAACGAACTCCTGTCAGTACTAGATAGAGACCACATTTGAGTCACATTTTAAAGACAAGCCGAACCTGTAAGTTCTACGCACACCTCTTTGCTGATCACTCCTTCATGTTCTCCCAGATTCTCCCTTTCTGACTCGCGACAGCAGTGTCCCCACCACTCACCACCCTCACGCCTTGCCCCAAGCCTCCCAGAGAGAACTGTCTCATATGATCTGGTTTAGGACTTCCTTAGAGTCACAGTTTCTCCTGCTTTTATTGCAGGCACACCAGGGACAGGAGAAAGAAAGAGTCCCCACTGAGAATTCGTGAACGCCTCCCTTCTAAGATGTGAAACCTGTGCCAGGCACAAGGCAGGGCCAGTCCTCACTCCACTGACACGCAGGGTGGATGCAGCAGTCTGGGTGCTGGGGAGGGGCCTTCCCCTGGCAATAAATCGAGAGAGCAGGCAGGAGCCCATGCAAGAAGCTTCCTTCCACTTAATTCTATTACCAGAGTGACACCCCATTTCTTCGCCTTTGTGTAGGCAATTTGAATTATATGAACACAAGTGATGCAACATATCAAATCCTGATTAGCAGTTTCTCAGAGAGTGTACTGTTCCCCTCACCCCTCGCCCAATATTCCCACCCTCTCCAGAATGGTTGGGTATAAAAAAAGAACCCCAACCAATTCAGTAAAAAAAAGACAATAAGCCAGGTTTCCTTCACACCCACTTTTGGGACTGGCATGTGGCACCTGAGAATTGGGTCACAAAGGTTAGCAGACACCTTCTCCACTTTCAGGGGGAGTCCCTTTACCAAGCCCAACTGAGCTTCAGCCTCCTGGTGGATTCAGAACCTTCCAGAAGTGGGAATCCCATTTCTCCTCCTCCTCACCCCTCTGCAGGCAGCCTGAGAGGTGAGGACCCCTGACAGAGCGAGCCCAGGAACTTACCCTTTGCTCCTGCGTGGCCACGAACGTCTGGAACCCTGGTGCCACCCCAAAGCCCAGCTCTTGGATGAAAGGCGGCTCAGACTGACTGTGGATCTGAACTTTCACTCCTGCTTCAAACGTCGTTTCCTCTGGAAGCACAAAAAGGGACAGAGACGTGGGTCAGAGACAACAGATGCTGAGACTGAAATGCTCAAAGGGACACTAGAGTTCCGGCAGACTCAAAGCCCTCAAAGTTGACCCCCTCCTTATTCCTGGAAAACTGTCAATAGGTTACCTTTCCTGGCACAGAGACAGTGCAGATACAACGAGTTAGGGATCTTGAGGTGGGGTGGGGGAATATCCGGGACACTCCGTGGGTTCCAGTGTAATCACGGGGTCCTTGTAAGAGGGAGGCAGGAGGAGCAGAGTCAGAGTGAGAATGGGAACACGCTGTGCTACTGGCTCTGAGGGTGCAGGGGGGAGCCACAAGCCAAGGGATGCAGGCAGCGTCCAGAAGCTGGAAAAGGGAAGGGATTTTCCCTGGAGCCTCCAGAAAAAGCGCAGCCTAGCCAACCCCTAGATGCTAGCCTAGAGAAACCCCTTCTGACTTTCTGGCTTCCAGAACTGTCAGACAATACATTTTTGTTGTTTGAAGCCCAGAAATCTGCATTTCTGGAAATTGTGGTCTGGGTTGTTTGAGGTCAAAACATTTGGGCAAGCAGTGATCTAGTCCAGAGAGGGCAACTGACTCGCCCAAGATCACAGAGTAAGCTAAGAGCAGGGCAGGGCTAGAAGCCTGCTCCCCTGACTTACTTACAATCCACCACTTATTTATTTATTTATTTATTTATTTATTTATTTATTTATTTATTATAATTTTTAAGGTTCTTTATTTTATTATTATTATTTTTTAAAATAAATCTTTATTGTTCAGATTATTACAGATGTTCCTCTTCCCCTCCCCCCCATGGGTCCCTTCTCCTGGATCCCACCCCACTCTCTGCCCTTATCCACCCTCTCCCACTCCCCCCCACACACTGTTCTCATCCATAGGTGTACGACTTTGTCCAGTCTCTTCCCACACTCCCCTTACACCTTTCCCTCTTTTTTTATTCCTTGCGATGTGGTTTATTTCATGCCAGCAGATGCCCTGCCTCATGGCTCTGGGGTTCTGAATGAGGGCTGGAGACAGGGAACAGGCTTTCACTGTCATATTCCTTCCAGCCCAGCGCCTGGAGCAGAACAGAGCCCAGTCATGGCTGAATGCAGCAGATGAGTGAGGAAGTGTCCTCGGCTGAGTCTACTGTTTTTTGCCTTGGGACCAGCTGCAAGTCCGCTCAGGGTCTGACTGGACACTGGGGAACACCACGCCACACGCTGCCTAGCAACAGGCTCCCTCCCATGTCCCGGCCTCGGGAGGTCTCACCTGCTGAGATGCAGACAGGCCGCTCATCGCACAACAGCAGCAGTAGCTGGGACCACCCACACAACTTGTGGGTCCCCAGGCCAAATGAGAATGCGGGGCCCCTTCCTTAAACAACCCTGGGGGGTAAGACAGCTGTAGCGGAACATGAAACCCTTCTGAGCATGGGGACCTGTGACAATATAGGCCGCACATCAGGAAGCCAGCCCTGGAATCATCCGCTTGGTGCTGGACCAAAGTACTCACATTCTCACAGTCCTCTCCCCACTAAATGATTCAGCACGGAGCCGGCCCCAGTGCAGGGAAGGATTTGTTTACACATCAGGGATACCAGGACTCAAAGCCCCGGTGAGCGAGCGAGAGTACGGAGAACAGGGAAGTTACTACACACACAGTGTTAGGGACCTGGTTAATTGGGACCAGGCTGACACCCAGACAGCTTAGCATGAAAGATGATGTTGAATCAGGGGGAGGGCGGTGCAGCTTGTTCAACCTGCAGAGGCTGGGTCTCCCTCATTTCTCAGGAGCACAGCCACGGTGGCAGGAGGCGAGGTGTACCGTGTTTTCTGCTCACGCAGACAGGAGAGGGCTCTGCGAGGGGAGGTGGGGAGAGGGGGAAAGTACATGTACATCGCAATTAAAGCAGCTTAAATCTTTCATCTCTGCAAATTACAGGAAACACGCCGAGGAAACAAACCCTGGAGAGAAGTGGAAAGGGAAGCTGCTCGGAAAATACGGAGAAATGTTCTAGGCTCGCGAGCCACATGCGGCTCTTTGGCCCCTTGAGTGTGGCTCTTCCACAAAATACCATGGCCTGGGCGAGTCTATTTGAAGAAGTGGTGTTCGAAGTTTATGGATGAAAAGATTTGGCTCTCAAAAGAAATTTCAATCGTTGTCCTGTTGATATTTGACTCTGTTGACTAAGGAGTTTGCAGACCACTGTATCTAGGCTGAGGCGGGGTGGTGCCTGATACCGGGCAATTTTATGCCGGACGAGGCTGACTTTGTGACAGTGGCCGGGATGGCCAGCTTGGAAGAAGTGGGGAGGGAGGCCTGCCGTGTAGTGGTGGGGTTGTGGGGGTCCTCTATGCAGGATCGCTTCCGTTTGTCCGTCCCCTGGCCACTCCTCTCCACTGTGCTCTCCATGGAAGCAGCCCTGGCAGAGACTGTGCTGTTGGGCTCTCTCACCCTCTGCTTCTGGTTGGGTTCAGTCAATCGTGGTCCAGGTAGGGGACCAGTGTGTGTGTGTGTGTGTGTGTGTGTGTGTGTGTGTGTGTGTGAGAGAGAGAGAGAGAGAGAGAGAGAGAGAGAGAGAGAGAGAATAAAAGGCAGGCCCAGGCTTGGGGTCTATGACTCATGGATACATAGGATTTTGGAGCGAGGAGAGCCTGTGACACTTTTTAAATTCAACTAATCTCTCATCTTTCAGGCGAGAACACTGAGGCTCACAGAGAAGACAGTGGCCACTGGCACATGACAAGTGGGGGCTGAGCAGAGCCCAGGAGCCAGGTCCCTTGACCCCTGACCCTCCTTGCCCTTTGTCAGTTGGCTAGAAGAGGTGGTGGTCCCGAAGACAAGCCAATGAGGCTCCATGCTGGTTAGGGATGGAGGGGGAGGAGGAATTGAATTTATAGTGGGCTTGGCAGCCTGTGCTCGTTCATCTCCAAGTTTAGGACACAGCTCAATGAGCATGAGGCAGCGACAATGATGGGGACTGAGGCCCCAGCCCCAGCCCTTGAGAATCCTGGTAGGAAGGGTCTGCCACACGCTGCTCGGGTGGCCAATGAAGGGTCCATCTTGGCCCCTCATGTTCCCTGGGCTCTTACAGAGAAAACCAAGCAGGCTAAGGTGCGGCCTGAGAGGAGGGCCAAGGGAATACGGGCTCTGAGATCACAGCTCTGGTTTGGTTCACAACCCACTGCTTCGCAGCTGTGTGACTTCGGATACACTGCATTGCCTCTCTGTCTTCTTTGCCAAAATGAAGGCGTGCTCTCTTTGTTTTCAGCTCCAACTTTCTGTGATCTGGGGATCATGCACCGGTCGCCAAACCTCACTGCCTCCCATTGGAATTTCCTGAAAAAGGGATTTCTGAATAAAAGACATGCTGGTCAGCACTCACATCAATTCAGAAGAGGCTGGATTTTCTAACGACCACCAAAGAATCCACACAGCGCTGCCTGGCTCAAACTGGGTGGTGCGTATCTTAATCTCCCTGTCTGCCCCTCCCCTGCCAGACAGGCCCCGCTGAGCAGCATGCCTAGGGAAGAACACCCGAACTTGGTGCAGAGATGGACACGCTCACGCTTGATTGCCCACAGGTGCCATTTAGACGCCAGGAGAGCTTCTGGAAGAAATAAAATCAACATCGTGTCCCCATGCTGGATACAATGCAATTATGTCTGTTCCGGGCAGCATCTCGGTGTAGCTGAGTGTTCGCACCAACAGCTCCTGATCCAGATGTTATCAAATGGCTACAGAAGTTGGGTGAGGGTGCAAACCCCAGCCCCTCCTGCAGAGCCTCAAAGCACACTGGCATTTTAAAGGCCCTAGGACACGCTGCAGCAAAAACATGCTACCTTCTATTACACCAAGTGCTGCCCAAGGCAACCCTTTCCTTTTATTTGAATTTTCCTTAATATATATATATTTTTTATTGATTTCAGAGAGGAAGGGAGAGAGAGATATATATATAGTAATAATAGTAATATCAATAGTGAGAGAGGATTGTTGTACCGAGATTCCATGAGATTCCGTGATCCCCAAAGACTAGCAGGGAGCCAAGTCCGATGCAATTAACAAGACAGCCTCTTCCATGTTAACATGGGCTCTGTCCCACACACGCCGACTGCATGGCGGATGAGAGCGCGGACTTTGCCAAGCCCAGAGGTTTTACACCAGTGGTGATGTCATTGCTTTGGCTGACCCTTGGGTCCAGTTACACAAAATTGGGTGAGGGCTAGGGTCCAGTTACACAAAATAGAGGATAACTCCGCCCTGCCCCACAGTGGAGTCCGGAGTTTATCCTCACTCTGCCCTGCCCTCTCAAGGGTCATTGATTGGCTGCCTCCTGCAGGCCCGCTACTGGGGATCGAGCCTGCAACCCAGGCATGTGCCCTGACTGGGAATCAAACTGTGACCTTCTGGTTCAAAGGTTGATGCTTAATCACGGGGACTGGGCTCTGTTTTAATTTTTAAGCAACACTAGCTCTTGGTGGAAAGAGTCAAGGACCAAATCAGAAGCTATGGATGGAAGCCTGAGTTCCAATACTTCCTGCCATGGGGTCTTGGGAGAGTCATTCAGCATCCAGAGGCTTGCTTACCACATCTGTTAATGGGCTAATCCAGTGGTCAGCAAACTCATTAGTCAACAGAGCCAAATATCCACAGTACTACGATTGAAATTTCTTTTGAGAGCCAAAATTTTTAAACCCAAACTATATAGGTAGGTACATTGTTATTAATTTAATTAGGGTACTCCTAAGCTGGCCTTTGCTAAACACTCAAGGGGTCAAAGAGCTGCGTGTGGCTCGCGAGCCGCAGTTTGCCGACCACTGGTAATCTGTTGAATGAAGAACTGCTCTGTCTATGTCCTAAGAGTGTATGTAGAAGGTAGAATGCAGGTGAAGCACCTTCTATACTTCAGAATGATGTACCGGGTTGGGGAAGGGGTCAGTTGATGTCAGGACTTAGCTATGCAACAGAAAGAGTGGCTACACATAGCACACG